TGTAGCTGGCACCTTAGCCACTTGAGCCATAGGCGCTGAGCCAGCAGCCAGTCTTCTTGCACATCTATTCCCATTGTCCCCTGTGAAGAAATTAAAAAAGCTCACTAACTCAGAGAAGTGGAAAAAGTCAGGCAAAACATTCCTTAGCACAGAAGTTCTCAAATTGGAGTGTTTCTTACCCCCACAGAGGATATTTGGGAATGTGTGGGCACAATTTATTTGTCACAACTGGAGTAAGGTAGGATTCTACTGGTATCTAGTGGATAGAAAGGCCAGGGATCTTGCTAAAACATCTTACAATGAATAGGATAGCTCACATGTCCCTAAGAATTATCTGGCTCAAAGTGTCAGTAGTACCAATGTTGAGAAACACTGCATTAGGAATATATTGAAGTCTTGTATCTCCAAGTTAAAAATGTTAGGGCCTTTGCAAGGTTTAAAGGTTGATGAGATATGTCATACAGTTTTCTTTAATCAAGAAAATAATTATTTTAGTACGACTAACACTTTTTTGGGAAGGTGATTGTGTGTTTTTTTTTTTTTTAATTAAATCATAGCTGTGTACATTAATGCAGTTATGGGATACAATGTGCTGGTTTTATATACAATTGAAATATTTTCATCAAACTGGTTAACATAGCCTTCAATGTGATTGTGTTTTGATTTATATCTGTAGATCTATATATTTGAACAGAAAAAAACTGGAAATACTGGGATCTCCTGCTTGTATAGTAGTTTTGGCAAGTATTCTGTCAGATTTATTTTGGTTATTGGGCTTACTCTGAATTCACCTAAGTCTCTTTAGTGATATTGTAACATTTAAGTAGTAATTTAAGTAGTAATTGGGTAATTTTATGAAAGTAACAATAACACCATTTTCTTAGCGGTGGTTCTTCACTGGTAATTCACATTAGAGCTACTTGGGACTTTTGAAATATAAATAATGTTGTAAATATAAATATATAAGTTATGTATAATATGTAAATATATATATCATTGATAAGTGCCTGGAAAACGTGATTCAATTGTACAGCATCAGATCTCATGAATTTGTGAATTTGAAGAAAACTCTTTTTTTTTTTTTTTTGCTTCATCAGCTGAAACAGCAGAAGGTATGATTTATTGTATACTGGTTACACTCAGCCACAAGTGATAACAGAACGAGTCTAGGATGTCAGGTCCAGGGCAAAGGACCAATAAAACTGTTTTGGTGTGAGCAAGGTGGGTCTTTTAGGGGTGGTCTTGGGGATCGGATGGTGATGAGGTCTTCTATCCACTGAGAGCAAATTCCAGACAGTAGCATGCAGTCTGGCAGCTTGTACTAGCCTCCTTAGCCTCTGGCATCCCATGTTCCTTCTCTTGTGACCCTCATGAGCGCACAACCAGCCGGTTTATTTGGACCTCTGCCTCATCTTCTTTTGCACTTCAGCCTGCCCATTTGCTTCTTCCTCCACTTTGCTTTCATGGCACGGAGGTTTCTAGAAAGATGGCGCTAAGGCCGAGAGCAGAAAACTCTTTAAGTGATACATACCTCTGGTTAAAGATGGCTTAGAAGCTATCTTAATATTGGAATTGTATGTGTTATTTTGCCTAGTGCTGTATACCTTATATGTCCTATTGAATTTTTCTTTTGGGACAGAGTCTTATTTTCCTGCCCCTGGTAGAGTGCTGTGGCGTCATAGTTCATAGCAACCTCAAAGTCTTGGGTTCAAGCTGTCTTCTTGTCTTAGCCTCCCAAGTAGCTGGGACTATAATGCCAGCCTATTTTTTTTTTTTTTTTT